TCCAGATGGACACTGATGTAAGAGAAGGGAGCATATGGGTGGAGGAGGTACTTTCCTGGACTCCTTTTACTTAAAATCCATCCCAGAGCCCTGGTAAAACCTGGGACTCAGAAGCTTTCTTCAGCTCCTTTATTCTCCCGAACCAACTGAATGCTGCAAAATCCTCCAAAATTCCAAGGAAACTCCTTTAAAACAAGTGCGGCTGCAGTGGAGTAAAATGCTGTGTGTAGAAGATCCTATGACCCATTTCTTTTGTGTGTTCTGAGAGGCAAGTGGTCAGGTCTGCACGTCAGTCTCATCTCCTTAAAGGAAGGGTTTTTTTTTTCAATCAAAGCAGTGGTTGTGTTTTGTCTCAGTACTCTATAGAGGCTGTTTAAAAAATGTTTTTGAAGTCCTTAGCCCTTGAATTAGATTTACAATTAATTTTTTCCCAATATGTAGATTTACTGGAATACTTCTTTTCACTTTTAAAGATATTTACTAAAAGGAAAAGAATTTCATTTTCTTCTTCTCTTTGATGTATTTTAAAACACATTTTTCTCTCCAGGATCTCCCTTACATCTCAGCATCATGTAATAAGTTGTGCCCCATTAGTATAGGCTGGGGTCTTTACATATTCCATTGTTCAGAAAAATTTATAAGGAAAATGCTAGAAAGTAAAGGAGACATAGTATGGGGATGCTTGCTATCAATAGTTCAACTGGCTGGCTACAAATGGACAAAGGCTAAGATTAATTTTAAAAAACAATCTGGGGTCCTTGTGTATCTGAATGATCAGGCTCCAGGCTCAAGACATCCAGCCTGCCGGCCATTTGTGATCAGAGGAGTGCTGGGTCTCACAACGGCGCTTCTACTATGCGACTGGTTCTAACTACCCTTTCCCTTGCCTTTTGTTTTTGATCTGTTTCAGGACATGGAGGAGTGAATCAGCTTGGGGGGGTTTTTGTGAATGGACGGCCACTCCCGGATGTAGTCCGCCAAAGGATAGTGGAACTTGCTCATCAAGGTGTCAGGCCCTGCGACATCTCCAGGCAGCTTCGGGTCAGCCATGGTTGTGTCAGCAAAATTCTTGGCAGGTAAAGGCAGGAGCTCCAGGCTTCCCTTGATCTTTCAAATAAAGACCTAAAACATGACCCAGCAGCTGTTGAATGTGCCAGTGTCATAGTGAGGATCATGGCAGCATTTCGCTCTACACACATAGCACTTCGGCATTTGCAAAGCCCTTTTGAGGCCATACAATTCAAAGTAGACCAGGAAACCCCTATCCCAAGTGATATGTAAAATGGGGTGACTTAGTCCGCAGGGACGACATATTTCCTGAAAGCCTGATGCATTATTCTAGAGAACCCAAGAGTAAGAGGCTCTTAGGAATTTCCCCTACACATCTTAGGGCACTGAGCAGGGCTGGGTGGGAAATTCATAAGTTATGTCATGCAGCCAGTCCAATATTTCATTATAATGTTTTCAAAAAGTGCATTCCATTTTTAAAAGTCAGCCATCATTTTCATTTTGGGGTTATCATCGACCTTGTTATGTTAGGCTGCAGTATTTTCCTTCTGTATGTTTTATTTCCTTCGTAGTGACAGGCATCCTAAATATATACTAGATTAGAGAGGAGAAAAAAGAAAAAACAAACAAACACTAACTCTCAAATCTGACATTTGAAAGTTGCCACTTGACCCGGCGATTTGCTGCAAGCAAAATACTAACAATGACGATTCTCCCAGAGGGCTGTACAGCCTTTTAGCGCTCTTGTTTATTTTCTCAGCAGCCTCAGCATGATCCAGCGAGGCATGTTTTAAGATGAGAAAACAAACCTAGGAAGGCATAGCATTGACCCAGCTTTATCCGGCCAGCCAGTACTTGGGTTAGCTGAGGGCTAAGGACTCCTAGACCATCGTGTTGCACTGGATGCCCGAAACCAAGCCACAGGTTTCTTCTGGGCATGTGTTATTACAGGTCTGCCTTGGCAGGCGACAATAACTCTTCGGTTTGACTGATGTGTTCTCTCACTGTTTCTTTCCCTGGATCACAAAACAACCTTTGTCCTGTAGGTTCCATATTATGATCTGAGAACAGATGCCAGAATAGAAAATAAATATTTCCAAGTATGTCAATGACATCATGACTTTCTGCCTGTTCTTTCCCTTCTATCTGCTGGAATTTAAGAGATTACCTTGGATGGAGGGAGCAACCCTTTCTAGTAACCTTGGAGAGACTTGCTTATAGCTAGGGGAAGAAGTTTCAGGGCTAGGGGTCTGGCAGCTTCTTTAGGGACCTTGATCTTGTGTTTATTCCTCATCCTTCTGTCCAGCTCAAGTCATCTCAGCTATGACTGCTGTGGGCTCCACTCATGGTTAGCATTCAGCAAACGGATGGGCCCCAGCCAGAGTTCGGGGAGAAAGGCAGAAATCAGTATTGGTGTTCTTGTTAGATGGTGATTTGAGGCAGGAAGATGGGAGTGAGCACAGGAGAAAAAGGCAGGGAGCTAGAGGAAAGAGAGAAAAAGAAAACAAAGAGAATGAGTTTAAAAAGACAGAGAAATAGAGACATGAACACAAGTTAGAAAGAGAGACACACAGAGAGAGAAAGAAAGAACAGAGAAGTACTTTACACTCTCTCAGACTTAGCCTTCTAGAGCCAAATGGATCTTAGATATCTTCTTTGGAAGCCTCTTTGTACTGAGGGAGAGAGAAAGAAGGCCTTCCCTTTGTTTTTGCTGAGACATCTTTGCTGAGCCGACATTTTGCTTGCTATTTAAAATCTTCTCTGGGCCAGATACTAAGCAGGTCTCAGAGGGAACATCCCAGTGGGGGTCCTCATGGTGCCCTGGAGCCCTCTACATCTTCCATAGAGACCGAAGGGGATAGGGACCTTTCCAAGGCCAGCCAGCAGCCTCCCACGGCCCGGAATAGATTTGTCACTAGGTAGAGTGGCACTCGGAAGTTACGCGCCGCTCCGGTGCCTGGCCGTTTAAGTTGTCAACAATAAATTGGAATTTCATAGCTCATTATTTTCATAACTAAGAACCACAGTGGACAAAATGTCACTCTAATTAGAACTGCCTTTTAAGAAACAAGTTCAGCCCTAAAACAGTGTGACTGGGAATTTCTGAACTGGGGTTGTTTGAGCCACAGTTTTTTTTTTGTTTGTTTGTTTGTTTTGTCACCGATGAATTTGAAGGGTGCACACAAAGTGATAGACTGCAGAGAGTGTGTGGTGGCTATGGTTGTCAGAGGCAAGGCAGGCAAAGTTCCTGGGGCAGGCTGGGATCCCTGTCATCTAAGGAAGGTGAGCAGTCTGCCAAGAATGTGGGCAGTCTACAGAGCTCAGGGCTACAGAGGGGCTTGAGAAGCACAGCTCAGAGTCATGTGAGGTCAAATTAAATCCACCCAGAGCCTGGCTGTTGTCTTCTTTCAATGGAGCCTGGCTGGGAAGGTTCGGGTCATTTGGAATTGGGTGGTATGTTACACAGTAATAATAAATACTCAGAGGAATTGATCGCCGGTGCGTGCTTTTTATTTTATGTTTGCAAAGCTTTTTTCTTAACCGTTCTGTATTTCTGTCTTCACAACAGCCTTGCAAGGCAAGCAGGGTAAACATCTTCCCCCTATAATATCAGTGGGATAATTGAGGCCTAGAGAGGTTATGTGAGTTGACCAAGATCACACAGCAAATTAGCTTTAGCGGTAGTGACTAGCACCTACACCTCTTGACTCCTCAGTGGATGCTCTTTACACTGAAGGACACTGTGTGTTGGTGGCTGCCGTTCGTCTTTTGTCTGTAAGCCGAAGGGCTGCACGGCTGTTTTGCTGAAATGAAAGGATGGCTATTAAGTCTGAATCCTCACTTGACACAGTTGCGAGTTGGGGTTTCTGCAGTATCAGGGTTGCCTTCCGGGTGCCTGGCCCGTGTGTTAGTCAAAAGGAAGACGGAGACCTGTCACGTCAAGAGCACAGCCTCTCTTGGTTGGTGCTGCTCAGGTGGGATGGGTGGGGAGCCCTGAGTTCTGCCACCTACCAGCCACGAAAGTGAGAGGCTCCATTCTGTCATCCTGTCAGAGCTACTGTGAGAATACTGAAGTGTCATTTAACTAACGTATTCTCAGTATCCAGCAAAGAATTGCAATGTGTGTCTGGAACCCTTACCCTGAGATGGTGCCAGCCTTCACAGGGATTCGGTAACTATTGATTGAGTGAATGAATGAACTAAAGATGCATGTGGAAATGCTAGTAAACAATACATCCCTGTATGATTGCAAGGAATCACCATTACTATGATGATTCAAAATTTTATAACCAGAGCAGTCGTTTGCTCTAGTGGGAAGAGCACTGGATTCAGAGTCAGGTTTGAAAGCTGGGGCCACCTCGGGCGTGGTGACTCCTGCCCTATGGAAAGCTGGGGCCACCACTAATTTCTAGAAGGGAGTTGGGTAAGTCGCTAGTCTCCTGATCATTTATTTTCCTTTTTATAAAATGCTGCAGGATTGCTGTGAGGATCAAGATAATCTGAGGAAGAGCTCTGTAAAATTTAGAATTGTGCCTAAATAGCAAGTTGTTGTGCTACAGTGAAAACTGACTTAATATTGTAAAATTGACAGGACAATTAAAGGCTGCAGAGATTGCTGTCTGCCTTGATTTGGATACCTTCCTAGCATTCTGGCAAAAAAAAAAAAATGTTTTCTTGGATGTTATAAAAAAGAGTTGTTTGTGAGTAATAATTTTTCAGCTGGAGGAGCTATAGATTGAGTTTTGCCTTATGGTCAAAATTTGTCAACGACTCACTCTTCTCAATGAAAACTACAATTTTCACTTTCACATTATTCTCCCAAATTATTTGATCTCTTCTAGAATATTCACTATCTTAGCCCTAACCTGACTTACCCAGGCTGAGAATTTCAGCATCTCTCTGAATGTGATCGGGGAAACATTTTCTACCTGCCCCAGAATCCTCTCATTCCTTTACCTATTATAAACTCCTGATAGATTGAAAAATTATTAGTCTTTTCTAAAATGTCTTTTTGGTTAAAAAAATTTCAACTGTAAGATAATTTCCTTTGGAAGAGGAAGTTAGGAATTCCTCTGTAAATATTGAGAGAGACATCCGGTGACGGCTCGGATTCAGGAAAGGAATCAAGTCTTTTTTTCTTTTTTTCCTCTGAAATGATCTTTCATGGCACTCTCCTTCCTGGTCTCGGTTTTACTGTAAAACCCTGACATTCTATTTGCGTTAACGAGGAAAAGCTGATAGCATGGAAATGGCCTTAGAAACAGCCATTTACCTCAGGGGAGGTCCCTGGAAGAGCTGCCGCTTCTTGTGGTTGGTTTTTCTGATTGCTTGGGTTTTACAACACATATTTCCAGTTAATTCTAGAATCTTTTTTATTTTACATGACTGTTATTGTTTTTCTCTAAGGGAAAAACGTTGCACTTTAGGGGACTCTTTCACAGAATGCTGGGAATGGGAGAGCTGGCAAGTAAATAGGCATAAGCCACTTTCTGGGGAAATTTTAGTTCAAGAGACTAGAGCGTCATAGTCTGGCCTGGCCACTTGGTCTGGTGTGACCCTGGAGAACCTATCTGACTTCCGTGAGTCTGTTGTAGATCGCCAATGGGCATGTATTCAGGTATTTGTTCATTTGATCATTCATTCATTCAGGACAATGTGTGTGCTTTAGAAGAGTTGAAACTCAAATGACAAAACTGATTTGAAAGTTTCCTATATGCTATAAAATGATAGATGAATGTGAAATAATTTCGTTAATGCGTGGAGTCTTACCGGTGAGGGTCAACGGAAATAATAATGTGAGGCATGTATGCTATTGAACAACATCTAATAGCACATTAAGAAAAGTATAAAGAAGCAGGTACAATTAATTTTAATGCCCTATTTTATTCAACCTGATAAACATTTTCAACATATAAGCAATATAAAAATCACCGATGTGCTATTTTACAGTTTTTTGTACTAAGTTTTTAAAATCTGATGTGCACCTTACATTTCTAGCACATCTTGATGCAAACTAGTCACATCTTAAATGTTCAAAAGCCACAGCTCCTAGATCGGGCAGTGTAGACTTAGACAATTCCTGGACAGTGTAGCTCATTATTTTGTTGCCAATTTCCATTTTGCTGGTTCCTCATGGCTAAGCCCCTTTCTCCTTGGGTCCTAGGTATTATGAGACAGGAAGCATCAAGCCTGGGGTAATTGGTGGATCCAAACCAAAGGTCGCCACACCCAAAGTGGTGGAAAAAATTGCTGAATATAAACGCCAAAATCCCACCATGTTTGCCTGGGAGATCAGGGACCGGCTGCTGGCGGAGCGGGTGTGTGACAATGACACGGTGCCCAGCGTCAGTTCCATCAACAGGTGAGGGCTGGTGGCTGTGGGGGGCTGGGTATGGATGGGAGGGGGTGTCCTGGAGGCTCTGCGTGTATCTTCCCTGAAGATTTGGCTATTCCTTTCACCAAGGCCCCTCTGGGGTTATTGGGCAGGAGGGCTGCTCATGGGCTTTTGGGTCTGTTACCCTCTCTTCTTTCCCAAGTGAGCAGGAGTTGTAGGCCTAGGGAGGAGGGTTGTGCCAGCACCCTGGCTGCTTGAGATTTTTCTGAGCCCAGAGCAGTTTCCATCACTCTTTTTACCACTCACCTGTGTGTGAGGAGCACTTTGTAATGAATTGTCCTGACCAAGACTTCATGAATGTCTCTGTGCCTGCAAGCCCAGGCTTAGTACTGGCCCAGCTCGGAGGTTCCCAAGACGAACCTAGTTTAGGCAGAGGTTGAGCCATTGAGTGTGGGAAACAGAGCCTTGACTTGGAATTGACATATTTGGCTCCTCACTCCAAGTCTGCCACAAACTTGAAGTGGAATTTTAAAAAGGATTATTTTCCTAAGAGATAGATAGGTAGGTAGGGAGAGACAGACAGTGCCCCCAACAGGGCCCCACATCTTGATTTTCCCTTCCTACCCTCCAGCCTTCCCAGCCAGCCAGGATCATGGGGTGTGAGCCTGGCATGTACAGGTTGACCAGGGAGTAGAACCCACCACCTTCTATGTGGATCCAAGGTCACCTGAGCAGTGTGCCACTGCGGTGCCACCTAGCCGGTCCTGAAGTCCAACCTTGATAAACTGTTAGTCTGTTTTCTTCTCTTCCCCTCACTGAGAGTGCAGGGCCTTGGTAGTGCTGATGTGGGTCTTTGGTCTTCCAGGGTGATGCCCAGGATGCTAAGATGCTCTGGAGCTAGGGGATTGCCCTCCACCCAGTTCCTCCGCATCTCAGCTACGGA